TTCGATGCACACAGCAAGGCTGAGAGCAGGGGACCCCAGGTGGGGGATGGGGGATAAACCGGTTCACAGGGTCCTGGTAGAATCCCGAGATACGGGGAGAGTGCGTTTGCCGCAAGGGCAAAGAAGAGATGGACTCCAGATAGGTGGGTCAAGGATCAGGAAGGACCCTACACCCGGGGAAGAATACGGAACCAGGACGCAGGGCTGGGCACATGGAAGGAACCGTGGGAACAGCCGAGGGGCCCAGTTGCCAGGGCTCCGGGCGGAGAGAGAACAGCGTTTCTGAGTCACGGTAGTTGGAGAGATGGAGTCTTCGCGGACCACGAGTGGGGAAGATGCCAGTCCGTGGACCATGGTGCACAGCAGAGCGTGAGGAGGTACCCGGGGAGGGGACAGGAGAGACTCCGGGTCTCCAGGGCGCAGGGCTGGGTGCGGAAGAGCACCTAGGAGCTCGAAACGGGTAGGGGCGATCGAGGGGTCAGGAAGCTGGGGCTCGGGTGTGTATTTGGGAGGAGGGGGAAGGGGAGAAGACTCAGGCTCGGGGTGGGGGCAGAGGCGTGGGAGACAGGCGAGGGCGGAGCCGGTAGGGACAGGAGGCAGCTTCTCATGTCCGGGAACTCCGCCCCCGCCCTGTCCACCCCGAGCCAGAGCGGGGCTCTTACCTGAGAGGCCGAAGAGCCCCAGGCCCAGAGCAGCCCAGAGGCCGAGTAGCGCCCGGCGCAGCCCTGGCGAAGGCCCTGGCATCACCGCGGCGGGGAAAGCGCAGGAGGCGAGGGGAGCGCGAGCCGAGGAGCTGGGCTAGAGGACGGCTCGGCGCGGCGCGGCGGGTGGGGTGTGGGGGAGGCAGAGTTGCGCTCGGGGATTGGTTTAACGTTGGTAACTTGGTTTCCAAGGAGGGGGCGGCGGCAGAGGCGGCGGGGGGGCGGGAGGCGAGCGTGCGCTAAGCTCCTGGCCTTGGTGAAGGCGAGCTGGCAGGAGCGAGCGACCCCCGGGGTCTACGTGGAGGCCGGCATGATGGCCCAGAGCCTTCTGGGGGCGACCACGCTCTCCCGCGTCATCCTCGGCCGCGACTCTGGGATCGGGGGATGCTGGGTTGCCCTTCCCAAACCCCTACCCCAGCTCTGACTGAGATGCGGTGATAATGAGCTGGACTCCCAGCTCCGCCCCCACATGTAGCTCCTCCCACCAGCGCCCCTTAGGGCGGGGTTGCATTTGGGGACTGAGAGAGGTTTGGGAGGCACAGGATGGGGAAAGGACAGTTCTAGGGAAGAATGTGGGGATGCCTCTCTCACCCGTCCTTCTCCTTTTGACCCCAAGAAACCACACCCCTAAGCCCCCCCTCCCGCTCAGCCCCGGCTCGCGACAGAGGGGGCGGGACGAAAATGCCAGCGAGCCGGGGACACGTGTGCGTGCGCGCAGCGTTCGCGGGCGTCTAAATTAGAATCCGTTCGGCTCCGGGTCTGTATTTACCCAGCGTGCAGCGGGCACGTGTCTACTCAGCGTGTGTGAGCGCCAGCCGCCCAGGAGCGCCCGAGTTCGCCTTCTGCTCGGTGGGCTGGGGCCCTGGCCCTCCACTCGAGAAGGAGGGACCGGGGGTGACTCTTTTGACTCCGCATCCGGGCCCCAAGCTTTGACAACCCGCTCCCCCTCCTACCCCATGTGCTCATCTGGCCGGATGACTACCAGAACATCGTCAGAATTCGATTTGTGGACCATCTGATCACCCCTTCCCGGCTGAATGGGTACCTCTTTTGCGTATCCACGTCCCTCAACATGTCCATGGGACTCTTTCCTCTCTACCGTTCACGGTCTCACCCTAGCCCGGTGAGCTATTTTGGAGATGAGTTCTCGCTCCACAGTTGTTCTCCAGGAAAGCACAGGTTTTGAAGGTGGGGCTAGGATAGGAAACTTAACATCCAATCAGACCTGCCGCGCGGTGGCGGCGGCGCCAATCAGGAAAGCCCGACCGTGAACCCCGCCCCGCCCCTGCCAGTGGCCCTCCTGGACCGCGCTGATCCCATCTGCACAGCCTCGATAATGCCAGCAGAAGGAGAGGTTTCTGCGACACCCTCTGGGGATACACAAAGTCTGCGGCTTCGGGACCTCAGGTGGGCCCTGAGTGAGGAAACCTCAGGTGCCCTCAGGGAGTCGAGGAACTTGGAGAAAGTGATTGCAAAAAAAAAAAAACAACCGGTTCCTCTGAAGAAGGGCAGTAATGGGAACCCTGAGGTCACAGGACAGAGGCTGGTTAAGGAGGCCTTTATTGATTCCTGGAGGGTTCCCCGCCAATATTTATTTTTATTTTTATTTTTGAGACAGGGTCTTGCTCTGTCGCCCAGGCTGGAGTGCAGTGGCACAATCAAGGCTCACTGCAACCTCGACCTTCAGGGCTCAAGCAATCCTCCCACTCAGCCTCCCGAGTAGCTGGGCCCACAGGCGCGCGGCACCAAGCCCGGCTAATTTTTGTATTTGTTGCATAGGTGGGGTCTCATCATGTTGTCCAGGCTGGTCTCAACCTCCTGGGCTCAAGCAGTCCTCCTGCCTTGGCCTCCCTAAGTGCTAGGATTACAGGCATCAGCCACTGTGTTCGGTGGATTCCCCAAATTCTTCCAGATTCCTCTTTTATCTCACTCAGCCTGCGTAGAACACCCCGCTTTACTCCGGAGACTTCATCGCTAGGTACTTGTACAGGTACGCAGCGCCCACGGCGAGGAGTATCCCCACAAGGGCAGCGATGGAACAGGAGGCCAAAGCTGTGGGCACGGGGCTCCAAGCTGGAAGCAGGAGGCGAGAATTAGGAAGGGGACAGAGGGAGGTCTGTCGACCCGGTGGAACTCACGCTTGGTCTGTGCGCCTTCTTGGGGTTAATAAACTTCTCTGCTCCCTTCCTCCTAGTCCCCAGGATTACAGGGGTGCCTCACCGATCATCAGTGTAATGGGTGCAGAGCTGCTGTGGACCACCAGGCCGTCGAGATTGAGGCGCGCGTGGCAGATCACGGGCTGCCAGAAATCGCGGGGTCCAGCAGGAAACTCGTAGGTCAAGGTCACGTTGGCCAGATCCAGGCCGGTGAAGCGCTCCAGGCTTTCGGAATAGATGATCCGGCCGCCGCACCTCAGAGTCACCACCAAGTAGCCCACGGGGAACACGTGTGTCACGTGGCAGCGCAAAGTGTATTTCCTGCCCTCTAAGACCGGAGGCTCCAAAATCACGCTGTGGGGCGGTTCTAAGGCAAGGGGGACCCTCTGAGTGCGGTCCACGGGCGCCCCCTATAAAGCGACTGTCAACTACCCTCCCCAATCTCTTCCAGCCCCCTCCCTTCACCCCGGCCGGACCGAGCCCCTATCCCTCACTGTAGGCGGTGATCCTGGCGGTGGCCCAGCGCGTTTTTCCTGCGCAGGTGACAAAGCAGTGCGCCTGGGAGCTCCAGGCCCTCACGTCGAGCAGCTGGTAAAGCACCCAACCCGGCCCTCTGAGCGTCTTGCCCTGCTGCAGCCGGGTTCGGAGGCTGGAACTCTGCGGCTGGGGACAGCTGTTGCTGCAATTGAGCCACACTGACCCTCCCGGCGGCACAGCCACGAACTCCGGGCTCACTCGCACCCAGAAGGGCACTGAGGTCCCCGGGGGCGTGGGAGAGCTACCCTTGGAGCCTCGTGCCCGCTCAGTCCCACGTCCCAGAGCACTCCCAACTCCCGGGTAAGCAGCCGCCAAAAAAAGCAGCAGCGACAGGGGAAACAGAGACCCCATGGCAAAAAGCCCGGACTGAGGGGCCCCGCGCCAGACAGCCAGGGCTGGCTCTGGAGATAAGGAGGCCCGCAGCCCCGCCTCCTCAACTCCGCCCTGGAAAGGGAGGGGAGGCCCCATCAGAGGGCCCAGGAGTCCCGCAAAAAGAGATTTTTCTCCCCGGGTCAAGAATGGGATTCCAGGCCGGGCGCGGTGGCTCAAGTCTGTAATCCCAGCACTTTGCGAGGCCGAGGCGGGTGTATCACCAGGTCAGGAGTTTGTGACCAGCCTGGCCAACATGGTGAAACCCCGTCTCTACTAAAAATACAAAAAAGTCAGGTGTGGCGGTGCCTGCCTGTAATCCCAGGTACTCAGGAGGCTGAGCAGGATTATTGCTTGAACCCAGGAAGCAGAGGTTGCAGTGAGCCGAGATCGCCCACTGCACTCCAGCCTGGGCCACCAAGCAAGACTCCATCTCAAAAAAAAACAAAAAAGGCTGTGGGGTGGTGGATTCCAGGCCTCATTGGAAACCAAATTTTTTTTCTGGAGAGGAGTCTTCAGTTTTCACTACAGACCCAGGAGGTCATAAATAGTCCCATATTTGGACCAGAACCTCAAGGTATGGCCATCGGTTCACATTGTTTTTCTTGGGGGAGGAAGAGGGAGAATCGGGCTGTGGCTGCTTAGAAAGGGCTCCAGCTGGATGTGCCACCTCCCCTCAACTCACACAAAGCAGATGCAGATGAGAAAAGCTTTATTAGCACAAAGGAAGTCTGGGCAATGTCGCGACACCCTGTCTCCACAAAAAAGTGCAATTTGCCGGGTGTGGTGGTGTGCATCTATGGCCCAGCTACTCAGGAGGCTGAGGTGGGAGGATCACTTGAGCTCAGCAGGTCAAGGCTGTAATGAACTATGATTGCACCACTGTACTCCAGCCTGGGTGACAGAGCGAGACCTTGTCTACAAACACACACACACACGCGGAAGAGGATGCCACAGCTGGGATGGAGTCCTCCATTACCTTGGCACCCTTACATACACACACACACACACACACACACACACACACACACTAAAGAGGCTTCTAGAGCTGGGAGGGAGTCCTCCAATACCTTGGCCCCCTGCCCCCTGCTTGCAGGGCTCTGTTCACTGCAGGAAGTTGGAGCTGTGTAGTTCGAGGTCCCACTGAACTGCAAACAGAACAAAGCAGAGGTCGAGCATATTCTCTGGGCACTCTCCAGGCATCACCGCTGTCACTGTGAATGCTTGCAGGAATGTATGTGGGTGGGGAGTGGCTAACAAAGGTGTCCGTTTTTGAGGGGAGGGAGTAAGGCCTCACGGGGTCGCTCCAGTTCTGAACCTGTAACCATTACTAGTCCATATAGTGCTTTTGTGCCGAATAGAAAAATCACTCCTTCTGGGGAAAGGCAGGTTGGTCAACGAGAAGTCCCAGCCCCATTTGATCTTTTTGCCAGGCATTCTTGTGCAGTGTACAACCTGTACAACTGTACCTGGTGACCCTGAATGTGACTGTGGCTGGGAGCTCCGTGAGGCCAGAGACCTATGTTCATCTTGTTTGCCATCCTAACCTACATAAAAAGCACTCAATAAATAGCTGGTAAAATAAAAAATGAATAAATACATATCAAGGGTTGGGGACAGTCAATAGACAGCAGTGCCCAAGCTGGCATCTGTCAGGAAGTGCGGGCATTTATGTTTTGATGCGACACGTGTCTGTGCAGAGCCACTTCTTCCGTAGGGCTATGGGGCGTTAGCATACCCCATGGCCAGCGAATTTCAGTATTTCCTGGCTGTGTGTCCTTGTGGTAGGGGTATGTTTCCCCCACCCCTTCCCCTCTCGCCAGGCTAGACTTTGACGTCCATCACAGTCACATCTTGAGTCTTGCCCCTTCCTCTTGGCTTAGTCACGTGACTGCGGATCACATGCCTGGCCTAGTGTTTTCGGTGTGCAGCAGGTGCCATGGCCCCAAATGCCATCTGCATCTGACTGAGACCAATGCCCTGCCCTCTGGCATCCCAGGGCCACGGGGTGTAGCTGTATGGCATACGTCTGCCACTCTGTTCTGTGTGGCACCACTACCACCAGATGGGAGGGCCGAGGAAGAGGCCCCGTCCTGGGGTAGGTTCAGGGAGGCGTGGCTTGTGTGATGGGTTTCATGGGGGTCCCGTTTTGAGCCTGTTGGAGTCTGTATTTCCTGATCTTCCTCTGGCGGTTATAGAGGTAGATGGCAATGCCTGCGGTGCCCAGGACAGCTGCAGTCACCACTAGAGCGATGACGACCATCACATACTGGGGGGCTGTGGGGAGGATACAAGGGGTGGTGAGGATTGCAAGAGGCCCATGGCCCTGCCCCACCCAATCCTGCAGGCAGGATCACTCACAGGGCAAGTTCACCACGTTCACGGTCACCTCGCAGGTGACCTCCCCTCGAGTGCTCGTGGCCCGACAGAGGTAGGTGCCCGCAAGATCCCGTGTGACAGTCACTGATTTCCCGATGGGCAGTGCCAAAGTGCCATCTTTTAGACACTTAAGCTGGGGTGAGGGATTTCCCCAAGCCTGGCATGTCGGAGTCTGCTGGGAGTTTTCTGGCCACGTCCAGTTTCTCGGACAATCCTTCTCGTCCAGCTGGGGGCCATCTGGAAAAACACAAGATGAGATGGAGGTTGGGGACCAGGACACCCCTCCCCATCTAGGACTGCAGGACTTCAGGGAGGGCTCCCCTTATGGGTGGGGGTGGGACTTGGAGGGCAAGAGCTTATGGGACATCAGGAGTTGGGCCTTGGGGGGACAGGGGTCTTTGTCCAGCAGCCTCACTCACACAGCACACGAAGCTCCCGGGTCTGGTTCTTGTGTACAACCTGTCCGGCCACCTCTAGGGTTGCAGAGCAGGAGAAGTTGCGTCCATCGTCCTCGGGCCTGGCCTTCAGCCGTAATTGGGCCCGTGGGCCCAGCGTCTGGGCTGGGACCCCATTCAGCATCACCATGGCTCTGGGGTGGGCCTCACACTTCACGATCACCTCGGTTCCTTCTGAGACCTCAGGCTCCGACAGAATCACTTTGGGTACTGGAAAGCCTGAGGGTGGTCACACAGTGAGCCCTGTCCCCGGTTTAGTTCACACCCCCAGGAAGCCCCGATCTGTCCCCTTCCCGTTCTTACTGTAGACGGTCACTGTCTTCCGCGTCTCCTGGCTCTGATTTCCTAGTATTACTGCACAAAACAGCCGCTGGGTGCCCTCCTCCTCTGCAGTCCCCTTGACCGAGGCCTTGGCCGAAAGGGAGTCGAAGCCATAGGTGATTGTGTGGTTCAGCTTCTGGTCCCCCAGCGCCAGGTGGACCTGGGCCTCCGAGACTGGAAACAGCCCATCCAGGGAACAGACCACGGTCCCCTGCGTATCCACCTCCAGGACCCAGGGGCCGAGAAGTTGTGGGGGAGTCTCTGGCAGGACTGGGGAGAGAGGGTAAGTGTGAGCAGACAGGGATGGATGCCCCAAAGCCCTTCTCAGGGCATTTCATTCCCCTCCTGCAAAATCCTCTTCTAGGGCTGCTGAGCAGCCTAGGCCACATATGCCTAGAATACATGCACCCTTCAGCTGGGGCTACACCATTTTTTTTTTTTTTTTGAGATGGAGTTTCACTCTTGTTGCCCAGGCTGGAGTGCAATGACAAGATCTTGGCTCACCGCAACCTCCATCTCCTGGGTTCAAGCGATTCTCCTACCTCAGCCTCCCAAGTAGTTGGGATTACAGGCATGAGCCACCACACCTGGCTAATTTTGTATTTTATTCCATGTTGGTCAGGCTGGTCTCGAACTCCCGACCTCAGGTGATCCACCCACCTTGGCCTCCCAAAGTACTACGATTACAGGCGTGAGCCACCGAGTTCGGCAGGTCACACCCTTGTCAGAAGATCCTGAGGCCAGGGGCACCCCATTCCAGGATACTCCACCCTCTCCCTGCCGGCTTCCTCAATCCTCACCAAAGGTTTGGAGCTGGTGGGGGGCCGAGATGTTCTCAAACAGTTCCAGCCCTTGGGACCGCAGGTCCAATTCAGTGCGGCACGAGAAATTGGCTCCGTGATCATCTCTGCCTGCCAACACCGTGACCGTGACCTCAGCGGGCTCCCCCAGCTGAGGGACTGGCTGCCGGCTCAGCTCCTCTTCCCCACGGAGCAGCACCACGGTGAGGTTGGCCCGGGGTGCCCCACCCTCCACCTGGCAGCGTAGGGTAAGGTTCTCGCCCACCGGCTGCCAAGCAGGGAGGGGTGCCAGCTCCACCCGTTCTGGAGTCCCTGTAGGAAAACAGAGGTGGGGGTGAACTGGACCTTGCTGCCTGCCCAGCACATGAACCGCACCTGCCTGGGAGCCCCAGCTTTTCAGTATCTCCCCCAAACACACCCAAACACCTCAGCAGATAGGAATGTCAAAATCTTCAGGGAAAGCTGGTAAGAGGGCCCCAAGTGTTTGTGAAGGGGATCAAAAAATTCCTTATTCGTGACAGCAGCATCTTAGAGTGAAAAGTGGAAAAGAACTTTTTTTTTTTTTTTTTTTTTTGAGATGGAATGTCGCCCTGTTGCCAGGCTGGAGTGCAGTGGTGTGCTCTTGGCTCACTGCAACCTCTGCCTCTCAGGTTTAAATGATCCTCCTGCCTCAGCCTCCCGAGTAGTTGGGACTACAGGCACTTGCCACTGTGCCCAGCTAATTTTTATACTTTGAGTAGAGATGGGGTTTCACCATGTTGGCCAGGATGGTTTCAATCTCCTGACTTTCCACCCACCTTGGCCTCCCAAAGTGCTGGGATTATACAGGCGTGAGCCACTGCGCCCGGCCTGTGAACTTCACAGTCTATTGCTAGAGGTCTGGTCAAATAAGTTCAGCAGCCCAGTGCACTAAACTGGGCAACCAGCGGTGTGATCTCAGCTCGCTGCAACCTCCACCACTGGGGTTCAGCCGATTCTCCTGCCCCAGCCTCCTGAGTAGCTTGAATTACAGGCACACACCACTGCACCTGATTAATTTTTTTGTTTTTATTTTTATTTTATTTATTTGTTAGACTGAGTGTCCTTCAGTCGCCCAGGCTGGAGGGCAATGGCTCCATCTCAGCTCACCGCAACCTCTGTCTCCTGAGTTCAAGCAATTCTCTTGCCTCAGCCTCTCAAGTAGATGGGATTACAGACATGCACCACCACACTCAGCTAATTTTTGTATTTTTAGTAGAAACGGGGTTTTCAGCATGTTGCCCAGGCTTGTCTTGAATTCCTGATCTCAAGTGATCTTATCTCAGCCTCCCAAAGTGCTGGGATTACAGGTGTGAGCAAACATACTAGGCCTTGACATTCTTTAAAAAACAAAAACAGTCCCTGCGCAGTGGCTCACGCCTTTAATCCCAACAACACTTTGGGAGGCGGAGGTGGGCGGATCACAAAGTCAGGAGATCGAGACCATCCTGGGGCCAGGAGTTCAAGACTAGCTTGGGCAACATTGTGAGACCCCATTTCTGGGAAGAAAAAAACAACACCACACATTTAAAAATAAGCCAGGCTTCGGCTAGGCATGGTGGCTCATGCCTGTAGAGGCCGACGTGGATGGATCACCTGAGGTTAGGAGTTCAAGACCAGCCTGACCAACATAGCAAAACCCTGTCTCTACTAAAAAAAAAAATAAAAAAATTAGGCTGGGCATGGTGGTTCACACCTGTAATCCCAGCACTTTGAGACGCCGATGCAGGCAGATCACAAGGTCAGGAGTTGAAGATCAGCCTGACCAACATAGTGAAACCCTGTCTCTACTAAAAAAACAAAAATTAGCCAGGCATGGTGGCACATGCCGGTAGCCCCAGCTTCTCAGGCTGGAGGATGGCTTGAACCCAGGAGGTGGAGGTTGCGGTGATCCGAGACTGCACCACTGCACTCCTTCTTGGGCAACAGAGTGAGACTTCATCTCAAAAACAACAACAACAACAACAACAAAAAACAAGAAAACAAAAATTAGCTGGGTATGGTGGTGGATGCCAGTAATCCCAGTTACATGGGAGACCGAGGCAGGGAGAATCACTTGAGCCTGGGAGGTGGAGGTTGCAGTGAGCTGAGATTGTGCCACCGCACTCCAGCCTGGGCAACAGAGAGAGACTCTGTCTCCAAAAAAAAACAAGCTGGGCTTGGTGGCTCACACCTGTAGTCCCAGCCACTCAGGAGGCTGAGGGTGGGAGGAGGATTTCTTGAGTCTGGGAGTTTGAGGCTGCAGTGAGCTATGATTGTGCCACTGTACTCCAGTCTGGGTGACAAAGTGAGACTGTGTCTAAAAATAAAACAGCTGTTAAGCTGTTAAACAATATATACATAAGGTCAAGAAAACTCTGACTTCCAGCTCTTATCTCTCACCATCTCCTACAAACTCTTGCAGAATTTGAGGCGGCCTCGAGCCTCAGCCCCTGGAGGAAACCCAGCTCGGCTGACTGGTGGTGGGGTTGGGGGAATGTCTCTTCTGCTCTCACCTCTTCTTGACCCTGACCTTCAGTCCTTTTCCAAATCCTGGTCACTGAACTATTCAAATATTTCCCTGTCCTTCCCTTCTTGGATATGGTCACTGCCCACAACGTGGGCTACCTGGACAAGGACCACAGCCAACTGCTCTGTGGTTTCCTGTAAATCTAGCCTTCAGCTTATCTGATCCCTGGCCTGCTCACAAACCCTCCACAACACCCTGAGGACGAGAAAGTCCCGGCTCCTCCACTTGGTATTCAAGGCCCTGCCAACCTCACCCCACCTCCCAACAATCTTTTTTTTTTTTTTTTTTTTTAGAGGCAGGGTCTCACTCTGTCACCCTGGCTAGAATGCAGTGGCACAATCATAAGCTGACTGTACCCTCCAATTCCTGGGCTTGACCTGGCTCAGTGTCACACCTGTAATCCCAGCACTTTGGGAAGCCAAGGAGGTGGATCACTTGAGGTCAGGTATTCAAGACACCGTCTCTACTAAAAATACAAAAATAATTTAGCTGGACATGGTGGTGGGCACCTGTAATCCCAGCAACTCGGGAGGCTGAGGCAGGAGAATCGCTTGAACCCAGGAGGCAGAGGCTGCAGTGAGCCAAGATGGCACCATTGCACGCCAGCCTGGGCCACAGATGGAGACTTCATTTCAAAAAATAAAAATAAAAAACTTTCTGGGCTCAAGTGATCCTCCCACTTAAGCCTCCAGAGTAGTTGGGACTACAAGCATATGCCACCATGGCGGGCTTTTTTTTAAATTTTCTTAGAGATAGGGTCTCCCTATGTTGCCCAGGCTGGTCTCGAACTCCCGGGCTCAAGCAATTGTCTTGCTTCAGCCTCCCAAAGTGCCAGGATTACAGGCCTGAGCAACCGTGCCCAGCCCACACCAACTTACTGCTGTTGGGCCCCTCCTGCCCCCATCAAGATTTCTCCCTGCTCCAAACTTTTGCCCAGGCTGCTCCCCTGCCCAGAATGCCTGTCTTTATGAACTCCTACACATCCTTTAAAGCCCAGCTGGTGGTCACCTCCTCTAGGAATTACACCTCTAACCTTTTTGGAGAAGACTGAGCCATCCAGGGAGGCTTCTTTCTGTTTACACTATGGGTGGGGCAAGACCAAGCTCCAGTCTCTAAGTGACACACCCCCACACACCTTTTACCCCTTTGCTACCTGTGCCGGCTGTCTGCTCCCTTTCACAGAAGTAAGAACTAAGGCAAACTGGGGCACCCCCAGTCACAGAGGAAGAAATGTGGCAGAGCCAGGAGTCAAACCTGGAGTTGTACGCTTTCAACTACCAGGCAGAGCTGGGCACAGTGTGTTATGCCTGTAATCCCAGCACTTTGGGAGGCTGAGATGGGTGTATCACCAGGGGTCAGGAGTTTGAGACCAGCCTGGACAACGTGGTGAAACCCTGTCTCTACTAAAAATTCAAAAATTAGCCAGACTTGGTGGCGGGTGCCTGTAATCTCAGCTACTCAGGAGGGAGGATGAGGCAGGAGAATTGCCTGAACTTGGGAGGCGGAAGTTGCAGTCAGCGGAGATTGCACCACTGCACTCCAGCCTGGGCGACAGAGTGAGACTGTCTAAAATAATAATAATAATAATAAAGCCTATCAGGCAGAGATGCAGAAAAATCCTTCAAAGAGCTTTCTCTGGGGTTTTTAGAGGCCGCTAGGAATGTTTGGGGACTTCCCTCACCTGGGAAGGTCAGCATCTGCTCACCTACCCTTCAAATCAGAAGCAAAGCTGATCATTTACCCAGAGGCTTCCTTGCCCTGGCACAATGACAGCAGAATGTCCTTTCTCCCTCACTGTGTCATTTTACCCATCAGAGGAGGTCTCACCTGATTGCAAAGTAAACCCAGAAGCCACATCCTCCAAGCTATTAAGGGTCTTGTTGGGACCAAAGGCTAATCTCAAAGCTACCTGGCCAGTTTTTATTTTTAGAGACAGGGTCTTGCTCTGTCACCCAGGCTGGAGTGCAGTGGTGTCATCACGGCTCATTGCAGGCTCGACCTCTTGGTCTCGGGCGATCTTCTCACCTCAGCCTCCTGAGTAGCTGGGATTATAGGTATACCACCATGCTTGGCTAGTTTTCTTATTTTTTGTAGATATGGGGTCTTGTTGTGTTGACCAGGCTGGTGTCCAACTCCCGATCCTCCTGCTTTGGCCTCCTAAATCACGGCGATTATAGGCATGAGCCACTGTGCCTAGCCTGCCTAATTCTCTTCTGTTTTTCCTTCTTTGATTTTGTTTTGTTTTCATTTGAATTTCTTTTTTGTCTTGGTAACTCATTCCCACCATTCAAAGTCTCCAAAGTAGGAAGAACACAGAATTGTTGGCCAGGTGTGGTGGCTCACACCTGTAATCCCAGTACTTTGGGAGGCCGAGGCAAGTGGATCACCTGAGGTGAGGAGTTCGAGACCAGCCTGGCCAACATGGTGAAACCCCTTTTCTACTACAAATATAAAAATTTGCTAGGGATGGTGGTGGGTGCCTGTAATCCCAGCTACTTGGGAGGCTGAGGCACGTCGATCACCTGAGGTTGGGAGTTCGAGACCAGTCTGATGAACATGGAGAAACCCCATCTCTGCTAAAAGTACAAAATTAGCCAGGCGTGGTAATGCATGTCTGTAATCCCAGCTCCTCAGGAGGCTAAGGCAGGAGAATCCCTTGAACCTGGGAGGCAGAAGTTGCGGTGAGCTGAGATTGTGCCATTGCACTCTAGCCTGGGCAACAAGAGCGAAACTCTATCTCACAAAAAAAAAAAAAGAATTCTCCACCTCAAGCCCTCTCCCAGAGCCTCCCAGCCTCTCTTCTCATAGCCAACTAATATTGTCCTTTCTCCCACTTCATTTTAGGGCTATTTTATACACAAATACAGCCTCCTGAAACTGCCCCTCTGCCACTCCCTAACGTGAGGGTGGCATGCCACTCATATTCAACATACTTTCTTTCATTTCGACTTTACAATACACCCCAGAGCTGACTCTCTTTCAGTTCACCAGAACGTCCTGATTCTTCTACACGGTCACATACTATTCTGTGTAATGGACAAGCCACAGTTTCCCTCTCTAGCCTTTCCCATTTGAGTGGTTTGCAAGTGTTTGCCCTTCATACAAAGTGACAACATGTCAGTGAATGATGCTGTAGCCCTCACCATCTCCCTTGTAGGCAGCAACGCCTATAGACCACTTTCCAGGACTGAGTTTTCCTTTTTCTTTTTTTTTGGAGACAGGATCTCACTCTGTGTCCCATGCTGGAGTACAGTGACACGATCATAGGCTCACTACAGCCTCCAAATCCCTGGACTCGGCTGATCCTCCCACCTCAGCCTCATGAGTATCTGGGATTACAGGTGCATGCCAACATACCCAGCTAATTCTTATAATTCTTTCTTTTTTTTTTTTTTTGAGACAGAGTCTCACTCTGTCACCCAAGGCTGGAGTGCAGTGGCATGATCTCAGCTCACTGCAACCTCTGCCTCCCAGGTTCAAATGATTCTCCTGCCTCAGCCTTCCTAGTAGCTGGGACTACAGACATGCTCCACCACGCATAGCTAATTGTTGTATTTTTAGTAGAGATGGGGTTTCGCCATGTTTGCCAGGCTGGTCTCAAACTCCTGACCTCAAGCAATCCACTTGCCTGGGCCTCCCAGAGAGCTGAGATTACAGGAATGAGCCGCCATGACTGGCCAGGATTGGGGTTTGCCACAGGATACACACACATGGCATTAAAAAAAAAAAAAAAAAAAAGGCCAGGCGCGGTGGCTCAAGCCTGTAATCCCAGCACTCTGGGAGGCCGAGGCGGGTGGATCACGAGGTCAAGAGATCGAGACCATCCTGGTCAACATGGTGAAACCCCGTCTCTACTAAAACTACAAAAAATTAGCTGGGCATGGTGGCGCGTGCCTGTAATCCCAGCTACTCAGGAGGCTGAGGCAGGAGAATTGCCTGAACCCGGGAGGCGGAGGTTGCAGTGAGCCGAGATCGCGCCATTGCACTCCAGCCTGGGTAACAAGAGCAAAACTCCGTCTCAAAAAAAAATAAAAATAAAAAAATAGAATGGGGGCCGGGTGCGGTGGCTCATGCCTACAATCCCAGCACTTTGGGAGGCTGAGGTGGGTGGATCACAAGGTCAGGAGTTCAAGACCAGCCTGACCAATATGGTGAAACCCCGTCCTTACTAAAAATACAAAAATTTAGCCGGGTGTGGTGGTGGTGAGCCTATAATCCCAGCTATTCTAGAGGCTGAGACAAGACAGTAACTTGAACCTGGGAGGCAGAGGTTGCAATGAACTGAGATCGCACCACTGCACTCCATCCTGGCTGACAGAGCAAGACTCCATCTCAAAAAACAAAACAAAACATAACAAAACAAAACAATAGAATGGGGCTGGGTATGGTGGCTCACTCCTGTAATCCCAGCACTTTGGGAGGCTGAGGCAGATGGATCGCTTGAGGTCAGGAGTTCAAGACCAGCCTGGCCAACATGGTGAATCCTCGTCTCTATTAAAAATACAAAAATCAGCTAGGCCTGGTGGCGGGCACCTGTAATCCCAGCTACTCCGGAGGCTGAAGCATGAGAATCGCTTGAGCCTGGGAGGCGGAGGTTGAAGTGAGCCGAGATTGCACCACTGCACTCCAACCTGGGCAACAGAGAGAGACTCTCCCTGAAAAACAAACAAACCAAAAACCAAACTTTGGGAGGCCAAGGTGGGTGAATCAGTTGAGGTCAGGAGTTCGAGACCAGTCTGGACAACGTGGTGAAACCCTGTCTCTACTAAAAATACAAAAATGAGCTGGGCATGGTGATGGGCGCCTGTGATCCCAGCTACTTGGGAGGCTGAGGCAGGAAAATTGAATGAACCTGGAAGGCAGAGGTTGCAGTGAGCCGAGATAAGGCCAATGCACTCCAGCCTGGACAACAGAGGGAGACCCTGTCACATAAAAAAAAAAAAAAAAGGATTCCACTATGTTGCCCAGACTGGTCTTGAACTCTTGGCCTCAAACGACCCTCCTACCTCAGCCTCCCAAAGTGTTGGGATTATAGGCATAAACCACCATGCCCAGCCCGTAACATTTTGAGAACTGATGCCCAATTTCCCACCGCAGGGTTGGGCTTATTTATGATCCCCACAGCAGTGTCCTGGCAGTGCACAAACCGCTTATGTGCCACAGCCTTGCCAGCACAGCTGTTAGCAATTTTGTCCATTGTTGCCAATATGTGAAAAATGCCATCCAGGGCTAGTTTTAACTCATAGTTTTTTAAATAAAAATGTTTTTATTAAAACATTTAATAAAATGATTTTGCTATGTTGCCCAGGCTGGATTCGAACTCCTGGGATTTGAACCCCTGGGTTCAAGCAATCCTCCCACCAAAGCCTTAGGAGTAGCTGAGATTACAGGTGCATGCCATGATGCCCAGCTAAATTATTTATTTACTTATTTTTTTTCTGGTAGAAACAGGGTCTCACTATGTTTCCCAGGCCGGTCTCAAACTCCTGGACTCAAGCCATCCTTCTGCCTTAGCCTCTGGAGTAGCTGGGATTATAGGTACAAATCACCACACCTGGCTTAATTTGCTTTTTTTTTTTTTTTTGAGAGTGAGTCTTGCTCTGTTGCCAGGGTAGAGTACAGTGGCACAATACTGGCTCACTGCAACCTCCACCTCCCAGATTCAAGCGATTCTCCTGCCTCAGCCTCCTGAGTAGCTGGGACTACAGGCATGCGCCACCACGCCCAGCTAATTTTTATATTTTTAGTAGAGATGGGGTTTCACCATGTTGGGCAGGATGGTCTCGATCTCTTGACCTTGTGGTCTGCCCACCTCAGCCTCCCAAAGTGCTGGGATTACAAGTGTGAACCACCATGCCCAGCCAATTTGCATCTTTTATTAAAGTGTCCGATCTAAGACCTTGTCATACGTTCAAAGAGTGAGGCATAGAGAGATGGCATTCTCGAATGTCCTGAATTCCTGTTGATATCTTTTTTTGAGACAGAGTCTTGCTCTGACACCCAGACTGGAGTGCAGTGGCACAGTTGTGGCTCACTGCAATCTCTGTCTCCCAGGTTCAAGCAATTTTCCTGCCTAAGCATCCCAAGTAGCTGGGATTACAGGTGCCTGCCACCACAATGGGCTGATTTTTGTATTTTTAGTAGAGATGGGGTTTCGCTGTGTTGGTGAAACTTAAACTCCTGGTCTTAAATTCCTGATCTCTGGTGATCCTCCAGCCTCACCCTGCCAAAGTGCTGGGATTACCAGCGTGAGCCACTGCACCCCGCCTGTAGATACTTTAATTATACCCAAAGAAATTCACAAAGGGGCTCTCCAAGGATGTCCCCACCTGCCCTTCAAGGAGCCCCTCCCTGACCCTGACAAAGATTCTCCCAGCCCACTGTAGGTGCCCCAGTGCATCTGCTCTACCCCATCTGCCTAGCCCAGCCCTCTGGGCTCAGTCACTTACAGTAGACGGTGAGGAAGGTTTTAGCTGTTGACTGTCTACCACCGCAGTTTGAAAAGCATATTGGCTGGCTGTCTTCTTGCACATTGCTCAGTTCAAACATCTTCCAGTTGTTCCCACCTGGGAGCACCTCCCTTTTAGTCAACGGAGTCTCCAGGCCCAAGAAGGGGCTCTGATCACAGGAGCTGCTGCAGTTCACTAGCACGGAGCCACCCCGGGGCAGGATGACCACTTGGGGGGACACAGACGTCTGGGCATCGCCAGGTCCTGGAACAAAAGAGGGAAGATTTGACAGGCATTACAAATCGGGTTCATCAGGCCAGGTGCAGTGGCTCACTCCTGTAATCCCAGCACTTTGGGAGGCCGAGGTGGGCAGATCACGAGATTAGGAGTTCAAGACGAGCCTGGCCTGCATGGTGAAACCCCGTCTCTACTAAAAATATAAAAATTAGCTAGGCATGGCGGTGCATGCCTGTAATCCCAGCTACTCGGGAGGCTGAGGCAGGAGAATTGCTTGAACTGGGACCTGGGAGGCGGAGATTGCCATGAGCCGAGATCGCACCACTGCACTCCAGCCTGGGCTACAGAGTGAGACTCCACCTCAAAACAAAACAAACGAAAACCAAATCAGGTTCATCAATGGGAAAGTGCACTCAGCCTATGCTGGGTGCTGGAGGCCCAGCCTTAACAAGACAAAACTTTGCCTTCAATGTGGAAGTTAAAGAGAAAATACATAAGCATGGTGGCTCACACCTGTAATCTCAGCACTTTGGGAGGCCAAGACCGGCAGATCACCTGAGGTCAGGAATTTGAGACCAGCCTGACCAACATGGTGAAACCCCGTCTTCACTCAAAATGCAAAATTTAGCTGGGCATGGTGGCACGTGCCTTTAGTCCCAGCTATTTTGGAGGCTGAGGCATAAGAATCACTTGAACCTGGGAGGTGGAGGTTACAGTGAGCTGTGGTCGTGCCACTGTACTCCAGCCTGAGCAACAGAGAGAGACTTTTTCCCCAAAAAAAAAAAAAAAAATTCATGAGCAAACAAGATAATTAATAACTGATGTTAATAACAGCTTTGACATAAACAAAACAGGGTGATAGAACAGACAGTGCCTTGGTGACAAGTTAATGTTTGAGCACAGATCCAAATGACCAGAAAGGGCTGGCAGTCAGGAGAAAAGGGAAGTGAATCCCAGACAAGTACAAACGTCCTGGGGCAAGGTGGCTGCAGCCGAGTGAGCAGGGAGGAAGAGTGGGGAGATTAATTCAGGAAGGTCCTGTGAGCGCTGAAGGCCATGCTCAAGATGTGTTCTTTTTTTTTTTTGAGATGGAGTCTCACTCTGTTACCCAGACTGGAGTGCAGTGGCGCCATCTCCGCTCACTGCAACTTCTGCCTCCTGGGTTCAAGCGATTCTTCTGCCTCAACCTCTCAAGTATCTGGGACTACAGGTAGGTGCCCCCCACCACACCCAGCTAATTTTGGTATTTTTTGTATTTTTAGTAGAGATGAGTTTCCACCATTTTGGCCAGGCTGGCCTCGAACTTCTGACCTCAAGTGATCTGCCTGCCTCTGCCTCCCAAAGTGCTGTGATTACAGGCCTGAGCATCCTTGCCCAGCCAGATGTATTCTTTATTCTGAGGGCAATAGGGAGCCATGGGAGGATTTTAGCGATCACTTTTTTTTGTTTAAGGGACAGGTCGGAGCTGGGTATGGTGGCTCACGCCTATAATCCCAGCACTTTGGGAGTCCAAGGCAGGCAGATCACAAGGTCAGGAGATCAAGACTATCCTGGTCAACATGTTGAAACCCCCATCTCTACTAAAAAATAAAAATAAAATAAATACAAAAATTAGCTGGGCATGGTGGTATGTGCCTGTAATCCCAGCTACTCAGGAGGCTGAGGCAGGAGAATCGCTTGAATCAGGTAGTCGGAGGTTACAGTGAGCCGAGATTGCACCACTGCACTCCAGCCTGGTGACAGAGCAAGACTCCATCTCAAAAACAAACAAAAAAAAAAATAGTTCTCCCTCTGTCACCCAGGCTGGAACGCAGTGGTGCAATCACAGCTCACTATAACCTTGAAATCCTGGGCTCAAGTGATCCTCCCATCTCAGCTGCCCAAGTAGCTAGAACTACAGGACAATACCACATCCAGCTAATTTTTGAAAAGCATTTTTGTAGAGATGGGGTCTCACTATGCCACTAAGGCTGGTCTCAAACTCTGGCCTCAAGCAATCCTCCCACCTTAGTCTCCCAAAGTGCCGTGATTACAGGTGTGAGTCACCGTGTCCAACCAGATTTTAACGTGAAATCGGTGCCCTCCTCCCTCTCAAGAACTTAGGTGGAGAGAGTCAGCTCTTCAGGAATCAGACTGGGTCCTCACTCCCTGAGACAAGTACCTTCCCCCTCTTTGGGCCTCAATTTTCCCATCTGTAAGGTGAGTGAGTATAGCCACCCCATTCCTTGCTAATACAGGTAACTCAGCACAGGGTGGGCAGCAACTGGCTACCTTGCAGGTAAGTGCAGGTAAGAAAGAAGGGGCTTGTGGGGTAGGCACTGTGGGTCACACCTGTAATCCCAGCACTTTGGGAGGCTGAGGCAGGTGGATCAATTGAGGTCAGGAGTTGGAGACCAACCTGGCCAACATGGTGAAACCTGTCTCTACTGAAAAAACAAACATTAGCTGGGTGTGGTGGTGGGCGCCTATAGTCCCAGCTACTCAGGAGGCTGAGGCAGGAGAACTGCTTGAACCTGGGAGGTGGAGGTGGCAGTGAGCCAAGATTGCACCACTGCACTCCAGCCTGGGCAAAAGAGCGAGACTCTGTCTAAAAAACAAAAAAGAAGAGAAAGAAAGAAAGGAAAGAAGAAAGAAAGAAAGAAAGAGAGAGAGAGAGAGAGAGAGAAAGAAAGAAAGAAAGAAAGAAAGAAAGAAAGAAAGAAGAGGAAGGAAGGAAGGAAGGAAAGAAAGAAAGAAGAAAGAGAAAAGAAAAGGAAAGAAAGAAAGAAAGAGAGAAAGAGAGAGAGAGAGAAAGAAAGAGGCATATTTGGATTAAGTCCCTTAGATTCTGCTGCCTCCAAAGGTGGGAAAAAAAATGTCTGAGTCCAGCACTGCCCACTTCAAAGATTCCTGTTCTCAGATTTGTTCTATCTGGGATGGGGATGTGAGACCATTGGCTCAATACATTTTCCAAGGGAGAGTCTGGGATCATTCCCATTTCATAGAGGGAAACAGTTATTCAGCTAGAAAGCAGTGGGATCTGGGTCTGAGTCCAGATCAGAACACCTTTTTTTGTTTTTTCTTTCTTTTTTTTTTTTTTTAAAGATGGGGTTTCCCCATGTTGGTCAGGCTGGTCTTGAACTCCCGACCTCAGGTGATCCACCCGCCTTGGCCTCCAAAGTGTTTGGATTACAGGCGTGAACCACCATGCCCAGGCTGGTTTGTGTGTGTGTGTGTGTGTGTGTGTGTGTGTGTGTTTTGTTTTGTTTCGTTTTTTTTTTTTTGGAGACGGAATCTCGCTCTGTTGCCCAGGCTGGAGTGCAGTGGCACAATCTCAGCTTGCTGCAACCTCCACCTGGAAGGTTCAAGGGACTTTCCTGCCTCAACCTCCCGAGTAGCTGGGATTACAGGCGCCTGCTGCTATGCATGGCTTGGATCAGAGGCTTTGTTGAGCTGTTAACCAAGCTGTCAATCTCCCACCCTCTGCTTCCCAAAACTTACACCACCATGAGACCCTCTGACCCCTTCCCTCTTCCCCCGCTGGGCTAGAGCTGGGGGAGGGTGTGCTGGGGCGTTCCACTTCTCAGCCTTGGGCTACGAATAAGTCAGCCCTGGAATTCCCCTGAGCAGAAGCAGCCCTGGACTTCCCCAGGGGAAGAGAGGATGAGGAACAGAATATACATCTTGAAGGAGGTGAGTCCCTTAAGCCTTGATGCATTGGCACAGGGCCAAGTTCCCAAACCATCATGATCGGGCCCTGGAACCAGGTGTTGTGCTGGGCCAAGATACACCTGGCAGGTGGCTGCTATAGAGTTTCCTATTTTACAGCTGAGAAACTGAAGAGACCCAATTTAGCAGAGCAAGGCAGTAGCTCACACCTGTCATCCCAGCTATTTCTGAAGCTGAGGCAGGAGGAAGGCTAGACCCCAGGAGTGCAAGACCAGCCTGGGCAACAATACGAGGCCTGCCTCTCCCCTCCATCTCCAATCCCTCATCCTTTTTTAAAGCTGCAATCCACAGCCCGAAGCCACACGTGCAGGTGATTCAGGGTCTGAATACAAGGGTGCTGCCTTTCAATCGCTGTCTCCAATCCCACCTTCCCATAAACAGCTAACTAGTTATGCCTGACCCGATCTCCGGCGAGCTGGGAATCGGTCCTCCCGGGGATTCGGGTAGTCTGCCCGACGGCAATCCCCACCCCCGACTCACCTGGGAGCAGAGCGGCGAGCAGGACCAGAAGCGCAGGCAGCGCGGGCCGGGGGCCGCTGGGAGCCATAGCAAGGCAGAGGTTGCAGCCCCGAGGCGCAGAGGAGCTCAGCGCCGACTGGGAGGCGTGAGGCGCGCGGTCCTTTATAAACGCTGGCCACCTAGAGGCCAAGGGGCGGCGCTGCTTTCCGGGAAACCTCGCGCTTTCCCCTCCGGAACGAGGGCTGAGGTATTTCCGGACTGAGGGTGTCTGGCCCGAGCAGGGTCGCCGTCCTCGCTGGCCGCTGCAGCTCCGGAATTTCCAAGCTAAAGCAGTGGGGCGGCGGTGGCGGACTGACGACCCCGGGGGCTGCTCCCGGCCCTCCCGCGTCCCGTTCCCCGGCCAGGCTAAGCCTGCATCACTGTCTACACCGCCCTAAGCGGTTTATTAAGTGCTATTAAGTATTGCCAACTTCCCCGGACAGTGGGGACTGTTACTGTGTTCATTTCACAAAGCGGCAAAGTGAGGCTCCGAGCTGCGAAGGGATCCGAACTCAAGTTCTCCCTCCCCAGCACACGCAGGCCTCTTCGATCCAGTGGATGAGCCCCTTGCCTGGGTGGGGGCCCAGGAATCCTCCAGGGCTCCCTCTACTGAAGGGTCCCCCTCCCACTTAGGGTCATGTACCCGCCAAGCTGACACGGACTTTTCTCGAAAAGCGTCCGGAGCAGAGCCAGGCACCCCCCGGGGCCCGCGGAACCGTGTGAGTGACGATGCGCGCCTCACCACGTCCGGGGGAATCGGCGTCCTCTCTCCACACCCGAGGGCGCTGACACCCCTGCGGCCTCCCCGCTTCCCCTTTCGGCCTTGGCCGCGGGGGCGTCTTTGCAGCTCCCAGAAAAAGGAAGGAAGCTGCGCGAAACCCACGCGCTGAGCCCCTCCGCCGGCGTCCCGGGCTCCGCGGGGTGAATGAGGCAGTTAGCCTGGACCTTGACGAGGGAGGGTAGAGGGGACCCTAGAAACCCCTGCCTGCAGCTGGGAAACTTAGCCCCCAGGCGCCGAGGCGAGGCGGGGAGAGGGGGCGCTCAGACCCTTGCTTGCTGCTGGGAAACTGAGGCAGCCCCAAGGTCCCAGGCGAGGCGGGGAGAGGGGGGCGCTCGAACCCCTCGCCCTCCGCGGGAGGCTCCTCGAACCTAGGCGTGCACTAAGTATGAGCGGGTGTTTGCCCACCGCCTGTGCGTGTGACCCCAAGATTCGTCATCCACCACGTCGAGGCTGCGCCGCGCAGCCCAAGGCTTTCTTGTTGTGGGACGCGGGCGGCGTCGCCATGGGGATCTCGGAGGGGCCAGGTAGGTCGCGCAGCAGAAAGGGGAAGGGAAGGGTCCCGGGTCGCGCGGGCCCTTCCTATCTGGGAAAGGGGCTACTTGTCACTGGCCATACAGAGACGCGTATTTCCCCCGCCTCGGTCATTCCCAAGGAATTTCCACGGGGATGTTTTTTTCTTGGGGAGTTGAGGGGTACTGAATCCCCGCCCCGGAACGGCCTGGGCAAAGTCACAGAGTGGGACGGGGGACGCCCCTACTCCGCAGACGGCCTGGGAAAATCCTGCGCCACGGGTTTTTCTCGGGCGTGTTCCACCGAGCGCTTGTCCCGGCCCAAGGTGCGCGGCCAGCGAGCTCCCCCGCGCGGCCCAAGTCCCATTTGCAGCCACAATGGCGCCATTCTTTTCTCAACACGTGACTCCGTGTTTATTAAGCGCCTACTGGGTGCTGGGCATCCTTCCAGGTACTGGGGACACAACAGTTAACAGAATCGGACAAAAATCCAGCTGGGCGCGGTGGCTCCTGCCTGTAATCCCAGCATTTTGGGAGGCAGAGATGGGAGGATCACTTGATCCCAGGAGTTCAAGACCAGCCTGGGCAACCTAGGGAGACCGCATCTCTACAAAAAAATGCAAAAATTAGCCAGGTGTGTTGGTGCATGACTGTAATTCCACCTACTTGGGAGGTTGAGGCAGGAGAATCTCTTGAACCCGGCAGGTGGAGGGGGCAGTAAGCCAAGATGGAGGCACTGTACTCCAGCCTCTGAGTGAGACTGTCTCAAAAAAACCAAAACAACGAACAAAAAACGGAACAGCCAGACCAGTGTGGCTGGAGCAGGCTTAGCAAAGGAGAGATTGGAGGAGAGGAGCGGGCAGGGAAATGACAGGGCAGATAGGCGCAGGTGCCTGTCACCTGGGGAGGACTTTGTTGTTTTGTCTGATTTTTCTGAGACCCAGTCTCCCTCTGTCACCCAGGCTGGAGCGCAGTGGCACGATCTTGGCTCACTGCAACCACTGCCTCCTAGGTTCAAGCAATTCTAGCAGCTGGGATTACAGGTGCACACCACCACACCTGCCTAATTTATGTATGTTTTAGTAGAGACAGGGTTTCACCATGTTGGTCTCAAACTCCTGACCTCTGGGGATCCGCCCACCTTGGCCTCCCAAAGTGATGGGATTACAGGTGTGAGCCACCATGCCCGGCCAGGACTTTGGTTTTTATGCCCAATGAGGCGGGAGCTATAGAGGGTTCTGAGTGGAGGAAGGACCTTGCCCCAACTCAAGTGTTCACAGGGGCCCAGTTGAGGCTGCAAGAGCTGCAGACAGAAGATAGGAGAGGAGGTGAGTGTTCTGGTCCAGGTGAATGATGATGGGTCCTCGGCTGGGCAGTGTCCTTGGAGAAGGGGCTGAATTTGACATTCATCTTAGAGGCTGGGCCAACTGGAGGTACTGGGACAAGGGGGTGACTCCTTTGATCAGGGTCTGAGCCTTTTGGAGGCTGGAGGGCCACTTTCTTTTTCTTTTTTTTGAGATGGAGTCTTGCTCTGTCAACCAGGCTGGAGTGCAGTGGCATGATCTCAGTTCACTGCAACCTCTGCCTCCCAGGTTCAAGCAATTCTGCTTCAGCCTCCTGAGCAGCTGGAACTGCAGGTGCATGCCACCATGCCCAGCTAATTTTTTGTATTTTTAGTAGAGACGGGACTTCACCATATTGGCCAGGCTGGTCTTGAACTCCTGACCTCATGATGCACCTGCCTCAGCCTCCCAAAGTGCTGGGATTACAGGCATGAGCCACTGCACCCGGACTTTTTTTTGAGACAGAGTCTCACTTTGTCACTCAGGCTGGAGGGCAGTGGTTCGAACTCGGCTCACTGCAACTTCTGCCTCCTGGGTTCAAATGATTATCCTGCCTCAGCCTCCTGAGTAGCTGGGATTACAGGCGTGCGTCACCACACCCAGTTAATGTTTTGTATTTTTGGTAGAGATGGGGTTTCACCATGTTGGTCAGGCTGGTCTCGACTCCTGACCTTGTGATCTGCCTGCCTCGGCCTCCCAAAATGCTGGGATTACAGGCGTGAGCCACCACTTGCGGCCGGAGGGCCACTTTCTGAGGTGGAGATGGAGCGGCCATGGTGGGGCAGGCTGGCAGAGGGAGGAGGCCGCTCCCAGTCCTCCACTCCTTTAGTCATTTGCTCAAGGAAAAGGGAAGGGCATGGCTTCCTCCGAGGTGCCAGGCAGTCTCAGGCAGGCCAAAGAATGGCCTCAGACCAGAGGCTGCCAATCTGGGGCAGAAGCCAACAAACTCCATCCCATGGTATCCCGTGCAACCAGCTTGCAGTTCCCTTAGCTTGGAATGTTCTTCCCTTCATCCCCAACAAGGCTGGCTCCTCTTTTCTTGTGGCCTGAGCTTTCTTCTATGAATGCACCCACTACTCCATCCTGGACCACACTGCCTTAATGTTAGAATTCCTGAACTCATCACCTGGTGAATTTCTTTTTTATTTTTTTGAGACAGAGTCTTGCTCTGTCACTCAGGCTAGAGTGCAGTGGCATGATCTTGGCTGAATGAAACATCTGCCTCCTGGGTTTAAGCAATTCTCCTACCTCAGCCTCCCCAGTAGCTGGGATTACAGGTATGCGCCACCAGTCCGGGTTAATTTTGGTATTTTTAGTAGAGATGGGGTTTCACCATGTTGGTCAGGCTGCTCTGGAACTCCTGACCTCAAGTGATCCGCCTGCCTCAGCCTCCCAAAGTGCTGGAATTACAGGTATGAGCCACTGTGTCTGGCCTGTTTATTTAATTTATTTATTCTTTTTGAGACTGAGTCTCACTCCTGTCACCCAGACTGGAGTGTAGCGACATGATCTTGGCTCACTGCAACTCCTCCTCCCAGGTTCAGGTGATTCTCCTGCCTCAACCTCCTTATTTTTTTTTAAATTTTTTGAGAAGAAGTCTCACTCTGTTGCCCAGGATGGAGAGCAGAGGCTCGATCTCAGCTCACTGCAACCTCTGTTTCCCAGGTTCAAGAGATTCTTCTGCCTCAGTCTCCCAAGGAGCTGGGATTAGAGGCACCCACCACCATACCTGGCTAACTTTTGCATTTTTATTTTACTTTTTATTATTATTATTATTATTATTATTATTATTTTGAGATGGAATCTTGTTCTGTCGCCCAGGCTGGAGTGCAGTGGTGCAATCTCAGCTCACTGCGACTTCCACTTCCCAGGTTCAAGCAATTCTCCTGCCTCAGCCTCCCAAGTAGCTGAGATTACAGGTACCTGCCACTACACCCAGCTAATTTTTGTATTTTTAGTAGAGAGGAGGTTTTACCATGTTGGCCTGACTGGTCTGGAACCCCTGACCTCAGGTGATCTGCCCGCCTCAGCCTCCCGGAGCGCTGAGATTACAGGCGTGAGCCACTGCTCCAGCAGAGCTCATCTTTCATTACAGACGCCTTCTGGGGAATAGCTGAGTTTGTGGTTTTGTTTTTCAAAACTCTGCTTCAGCAAAGACGTGGAGAAAAAAAAAAAAAAAAAAGGCTACAGAAACTCATCTGATTCCAGTTATGGTGATGGAAGACAGCCAGCAGGAAACCCTCCCAGAACGGGTCAGGTCATCTTCTCCATGATCCCAGTCCTCCTCCAATGCCCAGTGGATTAGTAAAGTAAATATCTGTTCTAAGAAGCAGAGAACTGGACATGCACATCCATAGCAGAAGAAAACCATCAAGAAGTAGAGGGAAGATTGGGGTGCAGTGGCTCACCCCTGTCATCCCAGCCCTTTGGGAGACCAAGGTGGGAAGACTACTTGAGGTCAGGAGTTCAAGACTAGCCTGGGCAACACAGCGAGAGCCCGTCTCTACAAAAAAACAAAATTTAAGGCCAGATGCGGTGGCTCACGTCTGTAATTCTAACACTTTGGGAGGCCGAGGTGGGTGGATCTCAAGGTCAGAAGTTCGAGACGAGCCTGGCCAACATGGTGAAAACTTGTCTCTACTAAAAATACAAAAATTAGTCACCCATCACGTCGTGGTGGGCACCTGTGATCCCAGCTATTTGTGAGGCTGAGGCAGAAGTCGCTTGAACTGGGGAGGTGGAGGTTACAGTAAGCCAAGGTCACAGGCTACTGCACTCCATCCTGGGCGACAGAGCGAGACTTTGTCTAAAAAAAAAAAGTGTATGTCTAAACAACAGGCAGGGTGACTCACACATGTAATCCCAACACTTTGGGAGACTGAGGTGGGTGGATCACTTTGGCCAGGCTGGAGTTTGAGACCAGCCTGGCCAAACTGGTGAAACCCCGTCTTTAGTAAAAATATAAAAATTAGCCAGGCGTGGAGGCACACACCTGTAATCCCAGCTACTCAGAAGGCTAAGGCGGGGGAATTTCTTGAACCCGGAAGGCGGAGGTTGCAGTGAGCCGAGATTGCGCCACTGCATTCCAGTCTGGGCAACAGAGCAAGACTCCATCTGAAAAAAAAAAAAAAAAAAAGTACAAGGATTGCTGTGTCTCACGAATGAGGTCATGCTGTGAATTCCCTGTGCAGGGACTGGCCTGACCGACAGGCAGCTCCCTAA